GTATATCTCCTTCGAAGAACACTGCAGTTCCTTTATTTGCTTTGCTTAGTGACTCAACAGAACATGCATTCATTCATCCATCACGTTATTGAGCTCCTCACACATGCCAAGTACAGTTCTAGAACACAGCAGTGAATGATACACACATTTCTGTTCCAACTCAATAGGTGATCTCTGCTTTGATTTTAGGCTTGCCGTGGCTCAGAGTTGGATAATGGGATCCAGGCCGACTCAGGGACTGTCAATGACACAGATGCTAATCCCAAATACAAGATTCCAGTTGAAGCCGACTTTCTCTTCGCTTACTCCACAGTCCCAGGTATCCAGTCAAATCCATTGTCTGCCAACCATACCATTCCAATCCGACATCAAAATCCAGTTTCTCATTGCTGCTACAGTAAATTACAGACATGGTTTGAAACAACACAGATTTACTATCTTAGAGTTCTTTAGTTCAGAAATCTGACACAAGTCTCACTAGACTCAAGTCAAGGCATTGGCTAGACCATGTTCCTTTCTCTAGGGCAGACTCCATTTCCTTGCCTTGTCTGGCTTCTAGAGGCACCCTCGTTGGCTGTGGGCCTTTCACTCCATCTTCAAAGGCAGCAGCCTCACATTTCTCTGGCCTTTCTTCCATCATAGCATCTGTCTCTTTAACCACAACCAGGAAAGGGGTTCTCTGCTTTTAAGGCCTCCTGTGACCAGTTTGCATAATCTCCTCATCTCAAGGTCCAGAAGCTTAATCACATCTGCCAAGTCCTTTTGCTGTGCAAGGAAACGTATTCACAGGCTCCGATTAAGGTGTGGGCGTCTTTGAGGGGCATTGTTTTGCTAGGCACAGGGATGTATTCACTTTTCTTTCCAAGAAAGCTGAGTTCTCTCACTTATCACTGTTGCTATAGTTTATTACAAGAATAGCATTTCTGTAGCACTTGGAGCTCACCGAGTGCAGTTCATGCCATTGACCTCATATCATCCTTACAATAATGGCAGATAGCTAAGAAAAGTATTATCGTGGTCCTTACTTTACAGATGGGGAAAAATTTCATTTGAGTGAGCTTAAAGTGATGTGCCCAAGGTCAGTTCAGGATTCAGTAAGATTTCGGGCTTAGACCAGGATTCCTGACTCTAGTCCTGACCACTTTATACTGAAATTTGTCAACAGATACCAGAAAATGCCAGTCATCAGCAAGTGTGCTCATTATTTACCAAACACCATGTTTATCTAAGCATCCAGTGAAAGTCCTTCCTTTGTTGTGGGTGAAAACTGGCATCAACTTTGAATTCTTCCAGCTGTAATAGTGGTTTTGTCAAGCGCTTGCTGGATACACAAGTTAATGGGTCAATGTGTTTGGAAAAGTAGCTCTAGCAGGATCTTCACATGGGATTCAGTGAGACTGATAACTTCATGAATTTTAAGGATCTTCTAAGCTTGGTAGGGGCAGCTCTGGTAGCATAGTGGCTAAAGCACTTGACTGCTAACCAGAAGGCTGGTGGTTCAAACCCACCAGCCACTCCTTGGAAGGAAGGTTGGGCAATCCTACTTCTGTAGTGATACTGCCTCGGAAACCCAAGGAGGGGTCGCTATGAGTCGGGGCTGACTCGACGGCACATAACAACAACAACAACAACAACAAGCTTGGTAGCATAGTGCCTAAGGCACTTGACTGCTAACCAGAAGGCTGGCGGTTCAAACCCACCAGCCACTCCTCGGAAGGAAGATGGGGCAATCTACTTCCATAGTGATACCGCCTCGGAAACCCCAGGAGGGGTCGCTGTAAGTCGAGTCTGACTTGACAGCACATAACAACAACAAGGCAGCGAGCACTGCTCCTGAGTCCCTGGGTAGGCAAATGATTAACATACCCAGCTGTTCACTGAAAAACGTTGGAGGTGTGATCCTCCCAAGGGTGCCTCAGAGGAAAGGCCTAAGATCCACTTGTGAGAAATCAGTCATTGGGAACCCTAGGGGGCACAGTTCACCTGTGACACACACAGGTCATCGTGAGCCAGAATCTACTCAAGGGCAACTGATAGATTGGTAACTGCTCACAAAAAGGGGGGTGGATAGTGTAATGGAGCCATATATTTGTTTAAAAAATAATCCAATCAAGCTGTAGGTCCTTGAGCAGTCACATGATTAAAGCTGGGTGCTTTCCTGAGTTCCTGGGCCCTGGCTCCTGCAGTTCCTTGGCCTGAGGGTTTGCATCTCCTTCTAGGGTTGCACTGTGGTTCCTTCCTCAGCTCCTGGGCATCCTCTGGGGTGTATGTCCCACCTCTTCCTGTTGAGGTCTCCTTGCCCTGCCTATTGGACAGGACCCAGGACAGCCTGAGAACAAGCATCCTCTGCCATTGACATCCCTTGTCTTGGCAGAGCTGGCCAGCCAGGGCAGCAGGTCCCCAACCCTAAAGTGTGTGGTCACTTAGCCCATGTCTTGCCTCTAGATTTCTTCAGCAAAGGCCAGGCTCTGATTTTCTATATTCCCCAACAGCAGAACGTATGTTTAAATTCTCCAAGTGGTCCCCTGCAAGTTTCTTTCTCCATGCTTGGATTAGAAAGTAGCATTCATCCTCCTAGAGGGTGGTGAGGAATTCCAGAGTTCTGGACTAGGTTCTGTGCTATTTCCTAGAGAAATCTCCATGTGCGGATTTATCTCATACGCTCTTAGGTATCACATGGGTGCCTCCATCAAAATTCATAGCATTCCCTGCAGTATCCACCACACTGGCCCTTATGATGTTGTATGTTGTGGAATTCCATGCTGGTAGCATTTGTTGAACATCTTTATACAACCCTCTCTGGTAGCATAGTGCCTAAAGTACTTGACTGCTCACCAGAAGGCTGGCGGTTCAAA